GGGGCGAGGTGGAGCGATTGGGGGATGGAATTCCAGAGGTTGGGGGCAGAGTGGCTGAACACTCTCTCGCCAATGGTGGGGCGGGTGGGTTGTGGGACGTGGAGCAGGCATAAGAAGTTATGCAGTTATCTTTATGGCATCCCCTGATCTTATGTAATGTATCCATTCAATTGTATGAAATATACGAGGGCGGATAATTGAACTTGAGGTACAGATCAGCAGTGATCTTATAGAATGGTGGAACAGATTGAGGAGCTGAATGGCCTACTCCTGTTTCTATGTTTCACCCATAAATCTGATAACAATGTCATAATAATGTGTGCCACCACCAACAACCACAACAAATTACATTTGTATAGCGCCTTTCACATCGGGGGGACGTCCCAAGGTGCTGGACAGTCAGGGACTTGGACCCAAGCAGGGGGTTGGGATCACGATGGGTGGAGGGCAGGGAGCGTAGGGGTAGGAGGGTGGCCGAAGGCACGATCGAAGAGGAAGGTCTTGAAGGAGGGGAGTGAGGGGAAGGGACTGCGGCATGGGGGCAGAACAGCTGAAGGCCTGACCGCTGATAGTGGGGTGGGCCAGGCGGAAGACATGAAACAGGCCAGAGCCGACTGAGCGGAGGGAGCTGACAGGTTTTTTGGGGGACAGCAGGTCACATAGGTAGGGAGGGGCAAAGGCGTGGAGGGCTTTGAAGACGAGGACAAAGATTTTGAACTCTATCCTCAGGGGGATGGGGAGCTGTTAGAATATACACTTTTTGTATACTGCTAGAATCATAATAGATGTTGTGAATGGGTTAACTTTTAAGTTAAGTGTGGGGGACAACTGGACTGACAGTCATGGGATAGGACGCATCTGGTTTTCTCTGTTTTTGAAAGAATAACGGACAGCTTTGGAAAAGGGCAGGGGGTCACCTCTTATCAGTAAATGACAACAAGCCCACAGAGGTAACAGTCCAAGGTACTGGTCGACACAGGATCTCGACTTAGCAATAAGTCGCTAGATTCTGACAGGGCCAAGCGACAGAAGGCAACCCTCAAGAATAGCAATTAATGAGCAAGTTGCTTAAACTAGAGGGCCTTGGTACCATCCCGGGATACTGATAAGAAATAACCAGTCACTTAAAAGGAATGTACTAATGATCCCAGACCACAAAATAATGAGCACCAGATACAGCCCTAAACTGACCAATCCTCTATCTTAGACAACTAGATCAGATAACAGGGGTCTTAAGGACAATGTGTATGTGTGCTGAGGCACGTACACCCAGCATGATTTCGGCCGGGTGATCTAATGTCCGCACCATGATTGGATGAACATCAGTATAAGAGTTCCATTAACTTTGTGAACGGGGCCGTCCCGGGTCGTGGAGACTAGGGTACGGGAACGGGGCCGTCCCGGGTCGCGGAGACTAGGGTACGGGAACGGGGCCGTCCCGGGCTGCGGAGATAAGGGTACGGGAGATGGGGCCGTCCCGGGTCTCGGAGACAAGGGTACGGGAGATGGAAGACTGAGAGCTAGAAACACTAAGACTGAGGATATCAGATGGAAGATTGAAAGCTGTAAGCAATAAGACTGAAAGCATGAAGAATCAAGCTTGTGTGCTGGAAAGACACAGTGTTGAACTCGAGATATCTACGGTGGTATTGTTCTGTTATAAGATCTGTTGATTGTACCGGCCTTTGGTCTGACCCATCGGGATATTGGGGAATAACGAACGAATAATAATAAAACAGTCTTATATCTGGTTGCAAATGGATTATGGCTGATTTTATTTTCTAACAGTTTGGCGTAGTCGGCAGGATACTCTGAATTAATACACTCGGCAGTTGACGTGTTTATGAGTCCGGTACGACCGTAACTAGTAGATAGTTGGGACGGTGGCCGTGGTACTCGCAGAAATTAGGAGTCCGGTACGACCGTAACTACTAGATAATTGGGACAGTGGCTGTGGTACTCGCAGAAATTATGTGTCCGTAACAAGTAGATAGTTGGGACGATGGCCGTGCCTGCGGGCAATTAACCGAGTGTATTAACCCATTGGGATTCTGAGTATTAAAGAACCAATATAATCCATTCGAGCGAGTGTCTCTTATTTGGATTTTTTAACAGAGCCAAGGGAGCCGGGCAAGGGTTGGGATGATAGGGTCATGGAGCCTGGTGCGGGAGAGGACACGAGCTGCAGATATCTGGATGAACTTCAATTTGTGGGGGGAAGAGTTGGAAAGGCCGACAAGCAAGGAGTTGGAGTGGTCGAGCCTAGAAATAATAAACGCGTGGATGAGGGTTTCGATGATTTGAGGGGAGAGGCAGTGGCGGAGCCGGGCGATATTGCAGAAGTGGGGGACATTGACTGGTAAATGTTGTGTCCCACAGAAGATCACCACCACAAGGTGGACTGCACAATTAATGTTCTGTGATCATCTCGACTTCAACCTGGTTCCAAATAGTGTAAACCTGGTTACTGAACAGCAACTCCTATCAAATTTGTCTGCTACTCAGATGGAAACACCAGGACATCCAACTGAAATTGGGAGATACCCTGACATTGTAATGATCGAAATTGCGCTGTGTTGAGGCATACTATGGAGAATGAACTACTGAGGAAGAAAGTACTTTCACTTTTGGAATATATTGTACTGTGGATACAGTCACTATTCTGCAGTTAAACATATAGTTCAGAAGATATTAAAACATAATAGTGGTCTATCTCATTCCTGGGGGAAGAAGCACTCTCCCACCTTTGGCATCCAGCAACATTTTTTATCAAGCACTGCGAGGTCACATACAATAAAGGCTATTTTCAGTTTAAAGCTCTCCCCACTCTGACAGTTTCAGAATGGAGACCAGATGCTTTTCCTGCACTGAGGATCAAGGCACTCAAGACTCTCTTTTACAGACCATGAAAAGCAACAGATCCTAATAGATGAGTTTAGAACTTTATAAGGTCACCTGGCTCACCTATTGACATGTAAATGTTGTGTCCCACAGAGGATCCTGAAAAACTATGAACAAAATGCTATATGGTGACAGATTCCTGTCACAGAAACCACTCTAAGCCTAAAATATCCTCATTAACTTTGATTTTTATAGCACAAATGCAAGTTATTTAAATTAATTGTGATATCAATATGCTCAAATAATTTTGAAAATATTCAATATGTTATTCCCATTGTGGCAGCAATGTTGTATTTTAAGCAGTCAATCAAACAGTATGTAACCCTGTTATGTTAATATTCTTATAACTTTGAGGTTGCTTTACCAAAACAGGTTATGAAGTAAAATCACATCGGATTCAGAATTATGAGGTCAATGGAAAGACAGATCATGTGGAAACTGCAGGTAACAATAGTGCAATTTTGTGGATATCTTTATGGGAATTTTCCTTTATAAAACTCATGTGGTCCCTCCAGCTGTGCAAGTATTTATCTTCCCCCAATATATTGTCTCCATGTAATGTTAGGTACACAACGGCTCTGTTGGAACGCACCCCTAGCCCATTTAAGAGTGTGGGTCAACTGTGTACCTTACTTCACCAGAAGCACTTTCAGATTTTGGTGCTGGCCAGCAGTTTCTGAGTAGTCAAGTTACCACTGACTTCACCCTCTGCAGGCTGTACATGTTCATAATGTGCAGAAAGCACCACTCACATAACTTTGAAATCAATGTTAACAGAACTTCCTGAACACAACTTACATGCATATCACCCAGCACAGTACATCGGCATTGACCTGATGACCCGGAAAGAGTTATAACATGGTATCTGAGATGATAATAATATTCCTTGAATCTGATATAGCACCTTACCACGTCGTCACAATGTCGCCAAGCGTAGTAACTGTATTTGTAGGAGAGATATTGGATCGAGATGTTTGGATTATATTGGAGGGAGGAGTGTGCTCCTGTATTAAATGCATCATCATCATCATCGGTGGTCAGGCTTTCAGCCTATCTGCTTCCATTATCTGGAACTTCATCCCGGAGTTCCTCCCACTCGATCTTCCCTTATCTTTTTCAAGGTCCGTTTCAAGACTTTCCTCTTTGACCATGTCTTCTGTCATCTTTGCCCTCCCCACCCCCTTGGCTTCCACCCCTTGGTCACTTGCCCAGCCAGTACTGTCAAGCACCTTGAGACTTCCTCCTGATAAGAAAGGTGCTATATAAATGTAAATTTGTATTGAATTTGAGACAGAAAGCAACATTTTGTTTAATTAAAAAAATTCTATGATTAAATTTATACTTAATTCATTCACAGCTCAGCAAAACAAAGGTTAACAACTCAGAAATCTGGCTAACATTCTTTAAAAAAGTCCCCTTTCCTCCCAAATATGAACCATCAAATTTTGGGTCAAGCCTGGTACATTCTAGAACCATGATGCATTTACCAATCAACATAAACCGCACAAAGATGTATGAGGAAATAACTAAATGGATGTTAAATTAGAAACTAACAAGAATCTCTAAAGAAACCATGAGCATTTCTCAGTTTCAGTTTAAGCGCTCTGAGACCTGACCCCATGTGAGGGGGGTGATATAAATGTAAGTTGTTGTTAATATCAACAAATAATTGAAAAATTCAATCTCGCTCCATTACATAAAATAAGTCTTAAGAATTAGACTTAGACGCAGCTAACTCGTATTCTTTGTTGCACCTGGAATTCTCCCTTCTTAATCAGAATACTGCAACACACATTTTGAACCTGTACTTCATTCTGACCCTGTGCTGATCACCCCATGTGATGAGAATTACGTCATTATTAGCTGCAGGTCATTCAGAACTCTGCAGCTCGTGTACTGTCCCGCATCAGGCTTCGCGACCACATCACTCCCACCCTCGCTCGCCTCCACTGGCTCCCCATCCCCCAGAGGATCGAATTCAAGATCCTCATCCTCACCTACAAGGCCATTCACGGCCTTGCTCCCTCCTACCTCTCTGACCTACTATCCCCCTATTTACCTGCCTGTACCCTCCGTTCCTCTGGCTCTGGCACTTACAGGTTACTGTTAACCTACTTAAACACAATGTATGTCGAAGTACGGTACCACAATGTAAATCCTATTTGTCTGTGGTTCACAGAAGCAAGAGGTCAGCCGGGACCACCGGGACCAGAGGGACCACCTGGTCCACCAGGTGCAACAGGGCATCCAGGAAAATCCGGCATCGGAACCCCAGGAGCCCCTGGTAAACCCGGACAGCCAGGGCACCAAGGATTGTCTGCTGTAGGAAAACCAGGTATGGCTGGGCCACCTGGACAGCCAGGCAGCAGTGGGTATCCTGGATTGAAAGGAGACACAGGACCTCAAGGAAAGAATGGGCCTAGAGGTATGGCAGGACCACCTGGAGCGCCTGGACAAGCTGGACTGTCAGTTGTTGGTAAACCAGGTCCTCAAGGAGCAGCAGGTTCTCCAGGAACAGCAGGAGCACCTGGAGCTAAAGGACACCCAGGTTATCCTGGCCAACCTGGTCCAAAGGGAGAAAAGGGAATTGGGATTCCAGGCCGTCCTGGAAACAGAGGTCTTCCGGGAGCACCAGGACCCCAAGGGTCCTCTGGCCCAGCAGGATTAGGATCTTCAGGAGCCGCTGGTGAACCTGGTGCACCAGGTGATAAAGGTGCAATGGGTCCCCCAGGCCTACCTGGATATACAGGGGCACCAGGAGCAAAGGGACATATTGGGCTGCCTGGGCAACCAGCGACTGGGAAGCCTGGAGCCGATGGTGTTCCAGGGTCACCAGGAGCTTCTGGCCCCAAGGGGAACCCTGGTCCACGTGGTTTCTCAGGTTCTCCTGGATTTCCCGGTTTTGGGAAAACAGGTGCACCAGGACCTAAAGGAGAACCTGGTCCTGTTGGTCACTCTGGTTTTCCTGGAGAGAAAGGAGAAGCAGGACAACCTGGTGCCAATGGTGCACCTGGACCTGTAGGGCCAGTTGGTCCACCGGGACCTCAAGGTCCAAGTGGTGTACCAGGTATAGGTGGTGCACCAGGAATGAAAGGTTTACGTGGACTAACAGGTCCACAAGGATATCCCGGATCAAAGGGTGAGTCAGGGTTTGGAGGTGCCCCTGGAAAATCAGGCCTTCCAGGAGAAAAAGGTGAACCAGGCTCACAAGGAACAGCAGGGCCAGCTGGCCAACAAGGTGAGCCCGGACCTGTTGGTCGACCTGGTACACCAGGAAGTTCGGGTGCCCCAGGTCTTCAAGGTGCTCCAGGTTTTCCAGGAGAAGCAGGAAGAGAAGGGCCTCCTGGATCACCTGGTCCAAAAGGTCCAGCTGGGATTCAGGGTGCTCAAGGATACCAAGGACTTAAAGGTCCTCCTGGAAACCCAGGGAAACCAGGTCCTCCAGGTATCGTCAGTAGAAAGGCAACTAAGGGCCGACCAGGCCCACCTGGGCAAGAAGGAGCAGAAGGTCCTGAAGGTCAACCAGGCCCTCCCGGTCCACCTGGTCCACCGGGAGAAATCATTGTCCAACAAAATGAATATGAAGTGCCACCAGCAGGACTGTTAATGGCTATTCCAGCTTTTACAGCTGTTCTTTCTAGACCATATCCACCTACAGGACAACCAATTGTATTTGACATAATTTTAACAAATTCAAACAACAACTATGATGAATCAACTGGAATCTTTACGTGTGAAGTATCAGGCATTTATCAATTTGCTTTTCACTTACACGTCAAGGGATCAAGTGTTTGGATTGCATTGTATAAAAATGATGAACCTGTATTGTACATGTATGATGCTTACTCAAAAGGGAATGTTGATCAGCTTTCAGGTTGCGTTGTATTACATCTACAAGAAAATGACCAAGTCCATTTAGAGTTACCTTCAGAGGAGTCCAGTGGTTTATATTCCTCTGATCACATGAGCTCATCATTCTCAGGGTTTTTAATTGCCCCGTTGTAATTCAGCCAATTCAAAACCATTCGGCAGTAAGCTAACACCCTGAACAAGTTTGTTGAGATTATATTTTACTTAATAAATATTCATCAAGAAATTAAATGTAAAGGTAAAAAACAGCACAACTAAATTAACAAAATAAATCACAACAGTACCTATTCATTATTGCACAGGTATTTCTATGTAGCAATTTGCTTCCTGCAGTTATATCGTCAATGTATGTACTTGAATCTGACCATCTAGGTTTGCCTTACGCAAAAAGCCCACATCGATCAAACTGGTATGAGGATGAATGTTTTACCAGAAATAATATGCTCCCTGTAGTTTATTAACTTCAAACTTGCCTTTTAAGAAAGACTTTTGATTCACCACACGATCACTTTATCAGCACCTAATCTTTTGCTTTCTGTATTAGCAGATTTGTAGAAATCAGAATTCAACCTCCTCCACTGATAGCATTCATTCATATTATTTACATTATTATTCAAACGTCATCTTTTGATTTACTCCTTGCATTTGATATTGCCCCTTATCACATTGTTGAAACAAGTTAAAGCGCTTTACAAGATTTTATTATAAAGTGACTGTACTTTTTCCGGTTACCATCTGTGTGTTCCCTTTTGATCAATGCCTTTTATAAACCAGCACATTCAATTACAAGTTGAATTATTAATTGTATGATTCATAGCTGCTCTTTGAGATAAAAAAAGTAATTAAATGTATATATAACAAAGACATGTGTAAATAAAATTTTTTGAAATGTACAAAAAAGTTTAACAATATTTCTTGTCAATTCCACTGATAGTTCTGTGGTTAAAGGACCACCTGATGTGATGCTGAACCACGCAGACCAGGAAGCCAGTTTTAATGGTCTATGCTGTTATTTGATCGCCATTCAGATAGTTAGGGGAGGGGAGCTCAATGACACAGCAAGGTGGGAAATTTCAACAAGTACTTGCTCACACTCATAATCTCTGTCCAGTAATACCTATTGGAAGCCATGGTACTGATACAATGTATGAAGAGAGGATCCATAATGAATTATCCTCTGAAATTACTGTCTATTCTAAGGGCATGACTACTTGGGTGAGAAGCTGAAGGTTGACAGCTTCTGGGAAGCCATATTCTAGCACATGTCATCACCTTCAGGAGAGGAGGGAAATAGAAAAAAAGTCTAATGATGCCTCAGTTTGAAATTACAAATGAAGCTCTAAATCAAGTGAACTTTGATAAACTGGATTCAAGTCATGTTATGTACTAATTTCTGAAGAAACCTTTCATTATACCCAATTAAATAAATGGTGAAACTGGAAATCAACTCGTCAATGTTTTCTATTTTTATTTTAGTCAGTGACAGACTGAAAATCAGCAAAAATAGTCAGTTATAAAACAAAACTATTTTTGGTCAGCTTGACAGAAGCCAATTGACAGGAGCCAATAAGGAGGGCCTCGGTCTTGTTGACTTTCAAATGTAGAAAGTTAGCTCTCACCCATGACTTGATGTCTGACAGACATTCTGTCAGGACAGCAGTGGTCCTGGAGTCGAGGGTGGAGGCAGTGAGATATAGTTGGATGTCATCCACATAAATGTGGAAATTGACCTCATGTCTGCGGATGATGTCACCAGAGGGAGCATAGAGATATTGAAGAGGAGGGGAACCAAGGACAGAGCCCTGAGGAATGCCGCACAAAAAGATGTGGGGGCTAGAGGAGAAACCATTTGTGGAGACGGAATCATTCAAGGACAGAACCATGAAGGTTGAGGTGTGAGGAGAGACGGTGGAGAAGAATAGAGTGATCAATGGTATCAAAGTCAGTAGAGAGGTCAAGGAGGACAAGGAGGCAGAGGGAGCACCGGTCGCAGATGGACAAATTGTCATTTGTCACTAAAACTGCATAGCTTGCCATTGATATGCACAGGTGCCCTGTGGACAGTTGAATTCAGTGCAGAGACTGTCTGGTTTCCCATGCAGTGATGTTGACAGTGATCTGTCAGTGATCAACCCAGGAATCAGACATTTTTACTGCTGGAAGTCAGAACATTCAGGATTCGATATCAGCAACAGTCATTTTCTGGAAATAGCATCAGCCATGTTTTTCCACACTGCACCAACATTAAAAGTTCTTGTAAAACAAAAAATTCTGCTAAGCAAATGTGGGTCAAATCATCATCTGAAGAAAAAAGTCCTTCAACTTTCATCAGAATGTGAGTGGGTCATTTCCAAAATATTAATCTATCTTTTGCCTCTGAAACTGATTGGACTATTGTCAATTTCCAACATTTCTGTCTTGTTTTTAAAAAACACACACACACAAAATGAATTAAAAGCAATTCCTCCACAAGCCACATTCAAATCTGTCACTCATACTGGAATGCCACAAATCTGTGTAAGTGGCTGGAAATGACTTCAAACTACTATTACAATACAACCACACCAGAAACCATTGAGAACGCAGAGTGATACTACCAATCACCAAGCTCCACACACTAAAATAATCATTCATGTAAATAGATTCCTACTTGAATTTCAACACATCCTCTCCAGAATGCCTTCTTATTTACCATTTTTTTTCATAGCAAGGCTGATGAATAATTGAGCCATTTGTTAATCAAGTATTTGTTAAACTGCCAGGAAATTCTAGTTGTCATTAATAGGAAATCAGGACTAAGCATGACATTTAAATCTTACATCCATACCTGTTCAGCTTTCTCTCAACGCCGTAACATTTACTGCCTCTGACACTACCACTCCCTCCAGGCCGCCAAGACCCTTATCCATGTTTTTATCACATCCAGACTACACTATGCCAACTCTCAGATCTTGCAACTCTTCCCTCCACAAACTGCAGAATATTCAGAACTCTGAGCTGGTGTCATCTTGTGAAATGAGATCCTTGAACCTATTACCCCCAATCTTGCCTGACTCCACTGACGTCCCCCAGAGGATTCAGTTCAAGATCCAAATCCTCATTTTTAAAGTCTTCCACAATCTTTCCCCAGTGTACCTCTGCGACCTGTTAAATCTTTACCAACCTGCTCACTCCCTTCGTTCGGCAGGCGCTAGCCTGCTTCATGTCCCCTGCCCTGTCTACCCCACCATCGGCAATCAGGCCTTCAGCCTATGTGCCACCACTCTTTGGAACTTCATCCCTGAGACCCTTTGATTTGCTCCTTCCCTATCCTTTTTCAAGGTTCGACTAAAATATCTCCTCTTTGCATTTGGTTCATCTTCATACTCACATCCACCTCCTTGATCCCCCCCCCTCCCAAATCGAACCCCCCTTGACTGTCCAGCATTTTGGGACATCTTCCTGATGTGAAAGGTGCTATATAAATGTATTTATTTTTGTTGTTGAACAATATGACCCAATAAAGTAATATGTTTGTGGAACAAGTTACAAAGATCGTCATTGGATATATGTGGGTTCAACAAACTAGAAAAAAAATTGAGGAATGGAATAATAAAAAACAACTTGCATTTACGTAGCACCCTTCGTGCAGGGTCTCGGAGTGCTTGCATTTAAATGGGGGGGTGGGGATAAATTAAGTGCAGTGTGTTGGATGGTTTGAGTGTGATGGTGATGGACGTAATCTGGTTCAACGTTATACATTTTGCCCACAAAATATACAGTCAATTCACTTTACAGTATATTCTGTGAATCGCTCTGAGACATCTCAAAGACATAATAAGGCACTATATCAAATGCAATAGTTATTATTATTATTGTTACATTAACAGTAATGGGGCAGGGCAGAAGGCTTTATCCACCAGACCACATTCACCAGCAGCAACACTTTGTTGTGTGTTTCACTGACTCGACATTCAGGTTAGCTAGCGCGTTTGAAGGGCTTGATTGAAAGCGAACCCCTAGCTGTAGCTGACCTGGGAGGGTTTAATGGGACTGCATAGAGGCAGGTGTAACTGACCAGCCCCAATGGTAGAGAAGGAAAGTGGTCTGGGTTAGACCTCCCTTTGCCAACTCCCCCATTAGGATGCAATACTGCTCTGTATAGCAATATTTAACACTATCTCTGTGAACCTCACTCACTCCTAACAGCGCTGTTCCACACAAGAGGCTGGCAGGGACACTCATAGCAATAACTTTAACACTAAGCAGTCTGATTGTTCACCTCACTCCCTCCCTCTCCTCCAATGTTATTCAAAGTGAAAGGAACATAAGGTAGACTTATAGTGCAATGACCCTCTTCAGCGGGTAAAATGAACTATGAATGTTTCACACTTCATCAGTGGAGTCCCGTAGCTCAGTGGTTAGAGCGCTCGCCTCGCAAGTGAGAGGACCTGGGTTCGATTCCTGGCAGGGTGAAACTTTAGCCAAGTTTTCTTATTCCACACGCCTCTGTTTACCTTGCAGTAAGTAGGAACCTGCTTGTTAGTCAATTGGCGGATCACTTTCCGAGGGAAATAATCCATTCAAAAAAATAAAATAATTTGGGGGGTCAATCAACCCACGACTATTTGTGGGACACTGCTACACGCAATTGGCTGCAGCGTTTCGGCCACAAAGTATAGTCATTTCACTTTACAGTATATTCTGTGAAGCGCTTTGAAAAGTCTCAACGACATGATAAGGCGCTATATCAAATGCAAGGATTATTATTATTATTTTTGAAATCTATGATTGAATTGAGAGTAAAGAAACATATAGTAAATAAACAAATACAATAAGAAGGAGAGATGCATAGGTAATAGAGGTAGGGTAAGGTAAAAGAGTGGGGAATTGAGATGAAAAGATCTGCCAAGGTTTAAATAAACAGTAGAGAGGGCTTGGTGTGCTAAAATAGCCTCCTTATGTTCCTGTTTTTGTATATTCCTCAAAGCAGAATAGATGAGATTGAAAAAGACTAAAATGGACTGGCTTTTTTTCCATTCTAATACATTATGATGCTCCATTAGGGGTACAGCTTTAAAATCCTAACTGCAAATTAAAATTATAGCAAAGATATACCATAGAATTGAACCAAAGGTTTTTTTTGGACAGTACATTTTAATGCTGTCAAAAATATCAGAACATGGTAACTTATTTGATTTTAGCTTTTTTTCCAAAAACAAGGGCACCACCAAGTGCTGTGATCCTTGCATTACACAAAATAAAATAAGCAGCCCTGAATGTTGCAATGTTCAATTATAGGCACTGTGACACTATAAATGTAGGGTGTTGGAACCAGAAAACAAAATGGATATCTGATGTGATTAAATCACTGACCACGAAAACAACCTCAAAGTTTCAACGGAAGCAAATGTGAAAACATTTAAAGCATGAATTAAAATAACACAAACAATGACAGGCGTATTCACATGGTAATACAGGGGAAATAAGGGGAAATAAATTAAGTACAATAACATTTTTGAAATCCATGATTGATTGGATTAAGAGTAAAGAAACAAATCTCAATGGATACACAATATAACCTTTGCATACACCGCATCATTTGTGCTTGAAGAGTTACAGAAAATAGGAACCAGGTTGTTAGTCGATTGGTGGATTCCTTTCCAGGGGTAATAATCCCTCAAAAAAACAATTGGTAATTCAATCCACGACTGTTTGTGGGACACTGCTGTGCGCAATTGGCTGCTGTGTTTTGCCCGCAAAATGCAGTCAATCCACTTTACAATATGTTCTGTGAAGTGCTTTGAGATGTCTCAACGACATGATACGGCACTATATCAAATGCAAGGATTATTATTATTATTTTTATTACACATTTGCCTTTTTCACCTCTTCCTCAAAGGTGATAGTTTTAGTTTTAACAGGGAATCCCTGTTCTGCTATTTTTTGGGGTCAGCCGAGTGTCTGACACATGGCGAAACCCATCACCATGCTTAAGAGTATCTAAACCAAACTGAGATTTCCATGCATTCCATCTACACATAGAAATGTCAGAGATAGATTGCTGGAATGGAATGCGCATTAGGGCTTTGGCTTGCAAGATTAACAGGAACTGAGTGGGATGACTCCTTGGGCCCAGTGACTGGTCTGCCCTTCCAGATCCTGCCAATGAGCCAGTTTATAATAATAATAATAATCCTTGCATTTGATATAGCGCTTTTCACGTCGGGAGGACGTCCCAAAGCGCTTCACAGAACACACTGTAAAGTGAATTGACTGTATATTTGTGGGCGAACGCGGCAGCCAATTGTGCACAGCAATGTCCCACAAACAGTCGTAGATTGAAAAATGACCAATTTAATTATTGTTTTTGGTTTTTTGGAGGGATTATTATTAGGCGTGTGGAGTAAGGAAACTTGCCCAAGGTTTCCCCCTGCCTGGAATTGAACTCAGGTCTCTCGCTTGCAAATCGAGTGCTCTAACCACTGAGCTACAGGACTCCACAACAGTTGTTGTTATCAGCATTGTCCTGGAACACTGCTGACTTCCCTGGCTCAGAAACCGGAATACCAAGACCACCACAGAGGGCTGGTTCGATTTTGACATTCCGTTGCCAGGCTTGCTACCTTGAAGCCAGTTCAGCTCCAAGGAGGCCCCACTTTGCATGAGATGCAAACAAATAATTCCACAAATAAGTGTCTGTAAAAAAGTGTCTGTCCTATTATAGCTTCATTTATACACTTCTTTGAATGAAACAAAAAATTCAAAATGTAGTGATACATCGATGATTCACACTGAAGTATCTGCTTTACTGAACATCTGAATTCACCTCTGGATGTTGACCCCACAACTGTGAGCTATGCTCACAGTGATAGTGACGAAGAAGGTGTTAATGGAGGGTCAGTGGAGTGATTTTATGGGTATAACACAACATTGAATTTGCTTTGTACAATGCACTCCAAGAATTTGACATAATTATTTTAGGTGAATGCAAACTGATAATGAATATGATTTTGCATCAGTACAGTGGGAAAACAGAGTTTCCATATTATATATCTTATATTCCAATCTTCATTTCGTGGTGAGGGGAGTATTACTTTAGTTCACTGGTTTTAGAGATTAGAACTTTGATTTGCATAGCAGTGAATCCCTCTTTCATATGATATTTGGGTTCCACAAATTTCCACTCCATATTATAGTGAGGTGTGGTAGCAGATCCACATGTGCATCAACTGGTTTTGCGTTAAAGAAAAAAAAGTCTGTATTCTGCATCAGGTTGTCCCAACATCACTTGCTCTTTGCTACCCATGTGTAAAGCAGGGAGAGATGTTATTGGTGAGCTGACAACCTCGACTTCAGCCTTTTATAAAAAAGCTCGGGAGGTTAAAATACTTGAATCCCAGGTCATTAGATCACCCCTAATGTCAGAGCAAAGCATAAGTGGCATCAATCTAATGACCCAGAAGTCGGCCATTTGATCACAAAAATCCAGCCAGCGTGGTGAATGGAGTCCACAGTGCCGCTGCGTTTTAAGAAATTCACCCCATGGTGAAGTATGTTATAAGGGGCTGTGCTGTTTTATCACAAAACCCTTCAATTCCAAAAATCTACCCATGATCTCTCCATTACAACTTACATTAATATAGCACCCTTCATGCAGGATAGCATCTCAAGAGCTTTCTCAGTAGCAGGTTTGGATGACAAGCAAGAAAGAATGGAGAAAGGGAGCAAAGGGAGATCATGGGCATAGTTAAAGAGATAAGTCCTAAGGTGGGATTTAACAAAAACAACAACAAATTACATTTATATAGTGCCTTTCACGTCAGGAGGACGTCCCAAGGATGGATTTAAACAGGATTTAAAGATAGATATAGAGGGGGAGAGGTGGAGGGATCGAGACAGGGAGTTCCAGAAGTTAGGGGTTTAAGCGCTCCAAGACACCATCCCATGCGAAGTGCATTAAATAAATGCAAGATGTTGTAATGGTTGAAGGCAAGGCCAGTGATGATGGCAAAGAGGGGGTTGGGGGATGTATATTGTGTGTTAGCTGAACAAAGGGAAGCGGGAAGAGCAGTGGGAATGGTAGGGTGATGGTATTGTTACTGTACTATGAGTCATGGATTTGAATCCCATTTTGGCAATTTCAAAATATGATTTGAAATAAAAATTGGTAATTTGAGCCAGAACCAGAAAAAAATATTGCAATGCTTTTGCAGGTATTATTACTGTTTGTTCTTTCTTTCTTAATGGAAAAATGAAGTGGCTGAAAAAATCCCAAATCAAAGGCTTAAAGACTTTTATTTTTCACATTCTTTCAGCCAAAATTAGATCTGCTGCATTTCCAGTTTTTAAAAGGTTAAAGAATAATCGCACAATAACACAACCCAAACTACACCTGAATAATAACTTTTAAATCCTAAAGTTACTTCATCCCCACAACAGTTGACATCCAACCCTCCTTTTACCTAATAAATATATTGGACTTAAAGAAAATCTTTCCGGGATCATATTTTTAATAATGATACAACATCTGAAAGTTATGGACAAGACAGTGAATGGCCTTTACCCTTTATACTTGACCTTCTGCAAAAACAACAAAAAGATATACTGTATTTTAAGATGTACTTAAGAAAACTAACAAAGGTACAAAGAACAGAGGTAAATAGCTTCATGAGAAATAGGCTAAGATAAAAAAAAGGGTTTTATAGTTTTTATATACATCAAGCAAAACGACACTATCTTCACAAAGGCTAATTTTTTTTATATTTAATTTTTGCACTTATATTGTGCTGTGGCTTTAAATAAAATTTAGATCTTTCAAAGCCAGATCAGAATTTATTTTACAAGATCTGTTCTACATTTGTTTTTGAAATTGTCCACACGAGTTGGAGACCAGTGCCAAAGAAGGCAAGGCAACTAACCACAAGTAACCCACTAACTTGATTTAACTTTTCCACGTTAAATAATATACTCCATAATTAGCACTTGCACTTTTAAAGGGAGGAGCTGTCAAATTTAGAGATATGTAGAGAATCTCTCATATATAAATACAACAGCATATATCGTTGGGAAACACTTCTCCTGTTCGATCTCAACAATTTCAGAGAATAGCCCATCTGGGATATTACACTGAAGAAAGACTTTGCAGGCAAAATATGCTGGTATGTATCAGATTTGATTTCTATATTAGCAGTATAAAAGCACTCTTCAATAAATGTTTTTCCTGATTTATTGTTCTCTTCTCTTTTACTGTTCTCTTAGATCTAATTTCTTAGACTCATTTCTGTTAAATTCATGCCACCCATTTAGGCTGTTGGCTTTGAATTTTACAAATCTATCACAACACTGCTGTGCAAGTTATGGTCTGAGAACCTGTTAAAGAATTAGCCTTGAAGCTCAATACCCTTCCCAGGACCTTTCAGTTATCCTTGAAATCGATATTATTTTGAAACATATCTTGCAGCATAATCAACAACACCTACTCAATGAACTGTTAAAATTATATTCAATTTTTTAAAGCTTAAATAACATTTCTAAGCTATTTTTCTACCAATAGTTCTAACAATTGTACTAACGCTTTACAGATTTGAACTGCGAAAATGATTCCTCAACAAATCGGTGCTCTTCTTCTGTTGCTGTCCGTGACCCTAGTCTATGGGACTGGATATGATAGATATGCCTACATGCGCAAGAACGTAAAAAGCTATGGAGGTAAGGTAGATCTTATTCTGAAATATTTTTTCAGCTTCCTGATTCTGGGATCAAATTGTTTGCAACCTTAATATAGAACTGGCTAAATTAACTGATGAGCAATCAACAAAGTTCATTCATAGTACAAGCAGCAATTTTTTTTCCTGCTCATTTTCCATATCCGTTTTTTAACTGACAAATCGCAAGTACTCCAACCACATTAGACCCTTTACTCAAAAGAAAAGGCAGACAGATTCAGCTTCTGAACTGGTTGGTGGTGAGGAATGGAGCATGACTCACTTTACAGCATTTCTTATGTTCTTCAAAAGAAAAACAATCACCTCAAAGCATTCACAAGAGGTCCCAATTAAGGAAATTATAATACAGAGAACAAACCAAACCTTTCAACTTTGGAGCAGAGTGCTCACTCATAACGTGCTGCTACACTATGCTGAAGTCTGGACACAAGATTATTTAAAAAGTTATATAGATTTCAGGCAACATCAAAATGAGCCTTGACGATAAAACCAGCCTCTTCTAGAGCATAAAACTTTGTTTTAAAAGAAAGTGCTATGCTAAATGTGTTTGTATTTAACACTTACAAGACTCTCAATGAACATGTGCGTAAGGGTTCCTTCAAACATTGGAAAGAGAACTAATCAAAGCTGCAATTAAGGATTAGCTGTATAGTCCTGTATGAAGATCCAAAATCAAGGGAATTCGCTCCGCGGTCACTTTCCCTCCAACATCCACCCACCCTCCCACACTCCGACTCCTACCCATCCTCCCCTACACACTTTCGTACCCGTTTCCCCACCCTCTGTCACCAAACTCATCCTATCCCTGAAACCCACCACCTGCTCCCTTGACCCCATCCCCACTCCACTCCTTATCTCCCAGCTCCACCTCCTTGCCCCACATATCACAGACATCGTCAACCTGTCCCTCTCCTCTGGCTCTGTTCCCATTCCCTTAAAAACTGCCACCATCACTCCCACCTTGAAATAACCCTCCCTTGATGCGTCGCAGCTATCAAGCTACCGGCCCATCTCCAACCTCCCCTTCCTGTCCAAGGTCCTGGAATGAGTTGTCACCTTCCAGCTGCACTTTCCTCTCCACCCATTCATTATTCAAACCCCTTCAGTCGGGTTTCCGTTTTGCCCATAGCACAGAAACTGCCCTGGTCAAGGTCACCAATGACATCCTGACCATCTGTGACCAGGGCTCCCTCTGCCTCCTCGTCCTCCTCGACCTATCGGCAGCATTCGATACGGTCGACCACGCTATCCTCCTCCACTGCTTGTCCTTCCACCTTAACCTTCAAGGCCCTGTCCTTGAGTGGTTTAGGTCGTACCTCTCCCACCGTCTTCACTTTGTTTCCACGAATGGCTTTTCCTCCAGCCCCCGCACTGTCTCGTGCGGTGTCCCTCAGGGCTCTGTCCTCGGTCCCCTCCTCTTCACCTTCTATATGCTCCCCCTTGGTGACATCATCCACAGACATGGGGTTAACTTCCACATGTATGCGGATGACACCCAACTCTACCTTTCCTCCTCTACCCTCAACTCCACGACCACCGATGTCCTGACAGCTGCCTGTCCGACATCGAGTCCTGGACGAGAGACAACTTTCTTCAGCTCAACGTGCGCAAAACTGAGGCCCTCCTGATTGGCTCACGTCAGCGCCTCCGCACCTCAGGCGCTGACAGCATCAGCATCCAAGGCTGCACTCTCCACCTCTCAAAGCCAGTCAGGAACCTCGGGGTTCTGTTCGACCCTGAGCTGTCCTTTCTTCCCCATATCCGCGCCACAACTGGCACCGCCTTCCATCACCTCCGAAACATCGCCAGACTACGGCATTACCTCACCCCTCACGCTGCTGAAACTCTGGTCCACGCCTTTATCACCTCAAGGCTGGACTATGGGAACTCTCTCCTCGTCGGCCTTCCCGCCACCTCCCTCCACAAGCTGCAGGTCATTCAGAACTCTGCAGCTCGTGTACTGTCCCGCACCAGGCTTCGGGACCACATCACTCCCACCCTCGCTCGCCTCCACTGGCTCCCCATCCCCCAGAGGATCGAATTCAAGATCCTCATCCTCACCTACAAGCCCATTCACGGCCTTGCTCCCTCCTACCTCTCTGACCTACTATCCCCCTACCTACCTGCCCATACCCTCCGTTCCTCTGGCTCCGGTCTGCTCCACATCCCCCGCCCCAACCGCCCTACCATCGGTGGCCGGGCCTTCAGCCTCTCAGCCCCCAGGCTCTGGAACTCCATCCCCCAGTGCCTTCGCTGCCTCCTCCCTTTCCTCCTTCAAGGCCGGTCTCAAGACCTTTCTCTTTGACAGTGCCTTCAGCTCCCCTCTCGACTCTCTACCCCCTCCTCGCTCCCTCCCTTCCCTCCCCTCACCCTGATCATTTCCCCCCTGCTCGGGTCCTGACCCAACTGTACAGCACCTTGGGACGTCCTCCCGACGTGAAAGGTGCTCTATAAATGGAATCTTGTTGTTGTTGTAATAACCTTTGGACGAAAACATCGTAACCCTAAATATGAAAATTTAGTTATTCCTGATAATAATCTTTGCAGTTGATATGGCATCTTTCATGTAAAGAGGACATCTCAAAGCGCTTCACAAGATTCACTGCAAAGTGTAGTAACTGTGTGTTTTCTAGGCAAACTGTAAGTCACTGTAAATATGGAAGTCAAACCCCATCTTGGGTGAAGAATATTGAGTCAAATATAAGAGTGGAGTTACTCTGCAGAATGTGCAGGATATTCACATTGAACTAGTGCACACTCGGTAGTAGAACTGATATTACAAAATGATTATAACTTGGCTAGAAATTTTCCTTTGCATAAATTATTTAACATAAGACAAAAATGTTACATTGGAAATGCATTTTCAATGCAATTATATTTAAACACGAGGTGCAAAAAATTAAAAGAAATTAAAAAATCAATCTTTTTTTGTATTGCAGCCTCTGATGTAAAAGGTTATACTTCACAGATCGCTGAAGATTATGTGCAGAATGGTGACTCTGAAGGCACAGGTCAGCAGTGTGCAATTTTTGTTAGTGTGAAGTAAATGATCATTCACAGTCCTTGTGCTGCAAGACAACTGCTTATTCTCTATGATTTACCTGCTATTTACAACTAGTGTAATGCATTATGGATTAGATATCAGGCAAAACATTGTGAATTAGATACTTTCAAAATTGAATTTACACAATTCAAATAACCACCACAAACTTTTCATGCACCATACAAAAACTATATTTGCATTTTGCAAGTACATTAAGGAAGAACATTTTGATTTACCTTATCTTTTATCGGACCCCCAATGTTCATAGCTACTTAATACCACACATAAATTAACTTTAAACACAAATTCCAAACTTTATGCCTGATATTTAATGCTTTATGCTTTTCTTTCAATACCAACAATTGGAGAGCAATTCTATCTCCCATCCATGATTTCCTGAGTTGATTAGCATTATATAGTCTCCAGAATTTTGCAAATTATTAAATACAGCCTTAATTTTGAAGCCATTTCTTTTTCTGGAAGTTATTTTAGAACGACAGTAACTGGACTTCACAGTTAAGATAGAATTCAACAATTTGCCAAGTTCTGGGAACTCCAAAATAATAATAATATTAATCCTTGCATTTGATATAACGCCTTATCATATCTTCGAGATGTCTCAAAGCGCTTCACAGGATATACTGTCAAGTGGATTGACTGTCAGTTTTGTGGGCGAAACGCAGCAGCCAATTATGTAAAATACTATGTTAATAGAGAAAATATAGACCCTGATGCAAATTAGCCCCAGTTTTGTTTTGAAACAAAATTATAATTTTGCACTCTTAAGATAAACATTTTTTAAAAGGTGGAGGATAAGTTATGACTAGAATGGTAGGCTTCTGTATTATTGAACAGGATTCATGCCCAAGTCCTATAATCCAAATTACCTTTAACATTTTAAATAACAGAGAGTGAAGCAACAGGCCCACCTGGACCTCCAGGGCCCCCTGGACCACAAGGACCACAAGGATATCCTGGTAAAACAGGTGTCGGAATGCCAGGATCACCCGGTAAGCCCGGAAAACCAGGACCAATGGGGTTGTCTGGTGCAGGAAAACCAGGTTTTCCAGGAGCACCAGGAAAGCCAGGAGAAACAGGAGCTCCTGGAGAAAAAGGTGACAGTGGACCTTCAGGTCTCCAAGGACCAAGAGGCCGAATGGGAACCAAAGGATCACCTGGCCCACTGGGATTGTCCATAGCAGGTAAACCAGGTCCTCAAGGAGCAGCAGGTTCTCCAGGAACAGCAGGAGCACCTGGAGAGAAAGGACACCCAGGTTATCCTGGCCAACCTGGTCCAAAGGGAGAAAAGGGAATTGGGATTCCAGGCCGTCCTGGAAACAGAGGTCTTCAGGGAGCACCAGGACCCCAAGGGCCCTCTGGCCCAGCAGGATTAGGATCTCCAGGAGCCGCTGGTGAACCCGGTGCACCAGGTGATAAAGGTGCAATGGGTCCCCCAGGCCTACCTGGATATACAGGGGAACCAGGAGCAAAGGGACATATAGGGCTGCCTGGGAAACCAGCGACTGGGAAGCCTGGAGCTGATGGTGCTCCAGGGTCACCAGGAGCTCCTGGCCCCAAGGGGAACCCTGGTCCACGTGGTTTGTCAGGTTCTCCTGGACTTCCCGGTTTTGGGAAAACAGGTGCACCAGGATCTAAAGGAGAACCTGGTCCTGTTGGTCACTCTGGTTTTCCTGGAGAGAAAGGAGAAGCAGGACAACCTGGTGCCAATGGTGCGCCTGGACCTGTGGGGCCACTTGGTCCACCGGGACCTCAAGGTCCTAGAGGTTCAACTGGTGCAACTGGTCAAGGAGGTGAAAAAGGACAATTAGGACCAATAGGTCCACGAGGGTATCCAGGATTAAAGGGTGACCCTGGACCAGGTGGTGCCCCAGGAAAATCAGGATCTACAGGACAACCAGGTTCTCAGGGGCCACAGGGAATTAGAGGGCCTCTTGGGTACAAAGGCAATACAGGACCTGCTGGGCAACCTGGCAAATCAGGTAGCCCAGGACGTCCAGGTGTTCAAGGGCCACCTGGTTATCCTGGTGAAGCAGGTTTGAGAGGAGCTTCAGGACTAACTGGGCCAATGGGTGCAACAGGGTCAAAAGGAAGTTCAGGCAGCCGAGGAGAGAAAGGTGATCCAGGTCTCCCTGGTCCTCCAGGACCTTCAGGTGTTTATTATGGAAAAATTGCATCTGGCCCAATTGGTCAACCTGGACCAATCGGATTAGCAGGACCCCCTGGGCAACCAGGACTCCCTGGCCCGCCAGGCCCACCAGGAGAGATTATTATGCCTCCACCCAAATACGGAGCCTATAACGGCTACATTACAACAGGAGAGCACCCCAATGGATTGCTGAGTCCTGTCCCAGCCTTCACAGCCCTTCTTTCCAATTCACACGCAACAGCAGAACAACCAATAGTGTTTGACCAAATACTAATCAATCAAAATAATAACTATAATCCATCAACAGGGATTTTTACGTGTGAAATTGCAGGCATCTATCAATTTAATTATCATGTATATGTCAGTGGAGGAGCACTTTGGCTTGCCTTACATAAAAATGAGGAACCTGTAGTGTACACATATGATGAATGTCTATCTAACCATGTTGATCAAGCCTCAGGAACTGCTATATTACACCTGTATGAAAATGACCAGGTCTACCTACAGATACAATCATACGAATCCGATGCTTTATATTCCTCTGATCAAATGCATTCAACATTCTCAGGTTTTTTAATTTATCCATCGTGATATGTATCACTTTGAAAATGTTCAGTTGCAAGTTGACGATTTGACTGCATTTTTTGAATTAAACTGAAATTAAAACAATGAAATTAAGTTAACGGAATAATTGCAGAAAAAAGCTATAACACAACAACCAAACAAAAGAGAAGTCACCATTTTTTTTTAAGAAACATGTTTCTTACCAGTAAATTATTGTGCTGCATTTGTCTGGCACTTGCATTTGCTTGAAACAAGATCATCCAGTTTTACCATCTGCATTGAACGATTAAGATGCAAACTCGTCTTCTGATAAATATTGTTTCAGAAATAATTACGTGAATTATTTTACGCAACAAATTTTTGATTTTCCACTCAAGTTTCCACTTCAGAGTTTCTGTTACTACACTACTGTATAAACAGTGTCCCTCCCAGAGTGAGGAAATTATGAAATTATTTTGTTTCTCAGAACTAAAAAAAAGATTATTGGCTATTCGATGCTCCAATTTTCCTAACTTATTTATCACCAGCAATTAACTGCCTCTGATTGAGTTAATAGTCTAAAATTCTCAACAGCTTTCAAAAACACAACTGAAATTGAAACACATCAATAGCTAATCATCCCCTTTCTGTCTATATTGAAGCATGCCAACATTATTTTCTTCATCTGATGTTACATAAATTATTAGATAATTCAATTTATTACTGGCATATTATTCATTAAATGCATCTACAAGACACCTGCAATGTATATATTCTGTATAAATATACGCATGCTCTTAAAATTTATAAAATGTTATTGTACTGAAGCAAATGCTGTACGTATGGAATAATATATTTCTGTAAGCAATGCTCTAGGCAAACTGGAATTTTCAAATTGTTTTATTACAAATGCATAATATGTTTTGTATTAATACACAGTCAAATAAATGGTGATTTAAGAAAAAATATGATTGAATGTTTCTATATAAACGTTATACACTCAAAGTCAATAGTTAGGCGCAACTCTTTGTTACACATAGCTCTAGCTCCCTGCTACATTCAAGTCCTCCTCTGAGCTATACACAGCGTGAGCTTCAGGCAGCCACAACTACCAGTTATGTAAAGTATACATAACAATAATCCTTGCATTTGAGAAAGCGCCTCATCATGTCTTTGAGGCACCTAAGTGCTTCACAGAATATACTGTAAAGTGAATCGATTGTGTATTTTGTGGGTTAAACTGCACCTTAGCCAGTAACTGGGGCTGTAGACAAAGACACCAATAATTGTGCAAACAGAGGTTCTATAATCAGCCTTGCACTTTGGGGGATTGAGGGCTCGGACAACAGGCAAATATCCATTCTCTTTTTGAGTAGTGCCATGGGATCTTTAATGCCCATCTGTAGGACAGCTAGAACGGACTGAGCAAGTGGACAAGGGTTTTATGGTTGTAAAGGAAAATTTCAGTATAGGTACCAGGAAATATTTATGCAGAGGGTAATGACTAAATGGGTTACCAGGAACGATGACTGAGGCCAGAACATTGCACTCAATTTAAGCACGAGCTGAATACTGTGATGGGAGGATGTTCTGGTGTGTATTCTGGGAGTGTGTATTCTTCATTGTTCAGATGAAGAAAGCCCTTTAGCCTATCTGATGTCATCCCTTCAGAACACTGTACCCACCCTACCATCTCCCCATCACAGCATCAAGCTGATTTTCTAAATACGCCCAATGGCTTGGCCTCAACCATCCTTCCTGGCAGCTCAGACAAATCATTAATTATGCTCTGAGAAAAAAGAAAAAGCCTGGTATCTGTCCTGAAGTTGTCCTTTGCAATTCTAAACCTATGTCCTCTTGTTCTGTCTTGCTGCACTCTAGTACTGTTCTGGTTTCGCTTTTTCAATACCCTTTAAAATATTGTTAGCTGGTATGCGAGTTGGCCGGTTGGACTATGCACAGTGAGACCCACATTGTGCCTCACTATAGTGGATCCCAAACATAGCATCATAATGGAGCTCACTGTATTAACGCTGAGACCATGGAGAAGTTCAGTGCTTAATTGCCCAAAGTGCAATTTGTGTGAATACACAGCAAGTGTTAGGAGAAACAGATGCAAATATATGAATGTTTCTTCTAAAACAAATAGCAGAATGATGCCAACAAGCACATACTATACACTTAGAAAGAAACAAGTTTCTCCTTAATCAACAAAGCTCCAGATGGATTGATCATTTGCGTTTCTCTACAAAAGTAGTCATACAAGTGACAGGCATAACTTGTGACATGCTTTGAAAGATTTTGACATGATAATGTAATACAAAAAATGCAACTACTTTCTTTGTAAGAAAATAAAAGAAACCTGAAATTGTTATTGCGTTAATATTTACAATAATAAGATATGAGACTTCAGAATATTACATTTTGTACGCAAGAAAACATCTGTCATTTTATTTTCCCTTTTCAAATGTTCTTTTTATTCTTTTTAATTTGCCAGCAAAATGCACTTACCAAGCACTTTAGTGAGCACATCAAACATGGGATAATGATGCCTTTACAATTTCAGCAGAACAGCAGAGGTTTGGACTGCTGAGAGCTAGAATAATGACTGAGCCTCAATTAGGATCACCAAGTTATCCACCATCAGTTACTGCAACAAAATAAATGCAAAATGTCTACAGAAATGTACAAACATATCTTCCTCAAAATAAGTCAACATCAAGTTGATGTTGAACAACAACAACAACTTGCATTTATATAGCCCCCTTCACACCAGACACAGAGTCTCAGATGAATTCACAACTGCTTTCTTATCTCAATAGTCACATAGAAACAACATTGCTCTTTATACTTCTCATCTTCATCAATGACTGTGTCAAAGACAATTTCAAACATCATCTTCTACAACATGGTATAATGCTCAGTTGAAAGACAAATGGCTTTAAATTAATTACAGACATTTATAATCAGAATGAGGCAATTGAGAAGCACATGGCAGGTACCTTCACCACTGGGACAATCAAGTCAAAAACTGTCGAGGTGACCACAATGATACCACAACAAATTACATTTGTATAGAGTCTTTCACACCAGGAGGACCTCTCAAGGTGCTGGACCCGAGCAGTAGGTTGGATCAGGAGGGTGGCTGAATAAGCGGTCAAAGAGGAGTATCTTGAGACGTGCCTTGAAGGAGGCAAGGAGGAAGCAAGACGAAGGGATGTGGGATGGAGGTCCAAAGGGTGAGGGCAGCGAGGCTGAAGGCCCAACTGCTGATGATGGGGCAGGCCGAGTGGGGGACATGGAGCAGGCTGGAGCCTGCTGAGCAGAGGGAGTGAACAGGATTGAGGGAGAGATGGGGAGTGGGTGGTGATTGGGAGGGCAGAAGCGGTTGAGCCCTTGATTTTGCTCTCAAGGAAATCCAGCATCACCTCACAGTTGGAGTTGGAGGAGAGGATGGACGAAGAATGAGAGGGTGGAGGAGCCGGTTGGTAGTGGAGAAGAGGAGCCTGAGGTTGTCCTTGGCCTCCAAGATTACCTTGGAATAGAAGGACGATTTAGCGGAGGCGAGGGCAGAGTGGTAAATTTTTATGTGGTCCAGCCAGATCTGCCAGTGGACCGTTAAATCAGATTTGAGCCAAGTGCGTTCAGCGGCACGCACCTGTGCCTTGAGGAAGCACAGGTGGCTGGTGTACCAGGGTAACTTCCGTGAGTAGGTGGTGGTTCGGGAGGTGAAAGGGGCAAGGCCATCGAGAGTGGAGGAGGGAGTTGTGGAGGAGAATGACCGAGAAGCATAAGTAGTTGAACAAGGCCCAGAGAGGGAGGAGTTCAGATGACTCCAGGGCAATAGGAGATGGAGGTAGATTGTGTGGTGGGAAGAGGGATTGAGGAGTTAAGGGAGATGAAGTAATGGTCTGAGATGTTTCTGTCGCTGATGGTGAGGTCCGGATGCTGAGGCTTCAGGTAATCATCAAGTCAAGTGGGTGGCCATGGATGTGAGTGGCAGAGTGGATATGGAGGGAGAGATTGTGAGAGGAGAAGAGGGAGAAGTCAGTGGAGGTAGAGCAAGAGGGGGTGAAATGCAGGTTGAAGTTGCCTAGGTTAAGGAGGCATTCAGAACAGAGGCAGAGGGAAGCTAGAAGGGAGGAGATGTCAGAGAGGAAGGTGAGGGAATCTTTGGGAGGGGTTAGTAAACAAGGAGAAATTTAAGGGAAAGATTGGAGGGATGGTAGAGAGTAAGGTACTCGAAGGAGGGGAAGGATACATCCCCCACTCTATCAAAATCGGAGTGGATTTTCAGTTATAAAACATTCAGCTCATTGGCTTGGTATTTATTCTTGATCTACAATGGGCAAGCAGGTGACAGACAGATGAAATCCTGGTAAAATAGTGTGAGATTTCAAGAGAAAGTGGCTGTACTTATCAGGCCGTCTACACCTGCAATATTTCACCTAACCAAATCTACCTTGGGTTTGAACACATGGAGTCCTGTAGCTCAGTGGTTAGAGCACTTGCTTTGTAAGCGAGAGACCTGGGTTCGATTCCCGGCAGGGCGAAACCTTGGGCAAGTTTCCTTACTCCACACGCCTGGTAATAATCCCTCAAGAAAAAAAATCAATAATAAAATTGGTCACTTCAATCCATGACTGTTTGTGGGGACACTGCTGTGCCCAATTGGCTGTCGCATTTCGCCCACAAATACACAGTCAATTCACTTTACATTCTAATATGTGAAGCGCTTTGAGACGTCTAGAAGACATGAAAAGCGCTATATAAAATGCAAGGATTATTATTGTTTTTACTATAGCCCTATTGAAAAGCTATTGTGAAAACTCTTCATCCCAGTCTGAATTCAGTCTGAAGCATGTAGCCCTGCGAACTTGATAAAATGTCCTGTTCCAGAGTTCATGTCTATAAACATCAAAGAGATGTAGCTTGGCTGTCAGTTCTCAACAATGTGTTTGCATCTGTCTATCACTTCCTTACCCATTGTGGATCAGATATGAAGACCAAGTCAATGAGCTGAATGTTTTGCTAACACTTGAGCCAAA